TATGGTGATGGTTGTGCTACTGTGAATATACTAAAAATAATTGACTGGTACTTAAGACTATGAATAAGGGCCAGGGATATAGCTCAAGAGCACAGAACCTGCCTTGGAAGTGCAAGGTCCTGAGTTCAATTCCCAGTACCAAAAAAAAAAAAAGGCTGGGGATATAACTCAGTGGCACAGCACTTGCCTGGCAAGCATGAAGTTGTATGTTCGAGTCCAAAAAGAACTATGAATGAGAGAATTTTAGGGTATATAAATTATATTCCAATAATGTTATTTTTGTTTTTTCTTTTTGTTATTTTTTAAATTATAAGACAGGGTTTCACTCTGTTATTCAATTGCCTCAAACTCATGGCAATACTCCTGGCTCAGCCTCCCAAGCGCTGGAATTACAGGTATGTACCACCACACCTGGCACTGCTGTTTTTTAAAAAGGAAAACTGATACATGGATCAGATTTGAAAATATACTACATGATGCTGGGCATGGTGGTGCATACCTGTAGTCCCAGCACATGGGAGGTTGAGGCAAAAAGATCACTGCCAGTTCGGGGTCCGCCTGGGCTACACAGTGAGTTCAAAACCAGCCTGAACTATGTAACAAGACCCTGTCTCAAAAAAGAAAAAGAAAATATATTAATAGAACCAGTGACAAGGTTACACATGTTGTGATTCTGTTTATATGAACTATACAGAATAGGTAAATCTAGAGGGGCAAAAAAGTAGGTTATAAGTGGCCTAGTGATAGGGAGATGGATCAATAAAGGATTGGCAGCCAATGCTATAGGTTTCTTTTGGAGATGATAAAAATGTTCTAAAATTGATTATGGTGATGTGCAACTCAGTGAATATACTTAAGCCAAGCCTGACACCATGATGCATCCCTGTTTAGGAGGGACAGGCAAAGGATCACTTGAACCGAGGAGTTGGAGACCAGCCTGGGCAACATAACAAGTACCTATCCCAGTTCATAACAAGTACCTATTTCAGCCAAAACAAAAACAAAATTGACTTCCATTTTCCTGAATGTCTGAGTTAAAGCTTGACAAATTGACACAAACTTGTGGGAAATCACAACAGGTCATGTATGGACTTCATGTCCATTTTTATGTCAGCCACTTGAAAAGTTTACCAGAAAACCCAATGACATCACCAGAAACATTTGAACTAAAAAAGTAGGAAATTTATCAACATTGACACACCTTGCCTTGGAAATGCTTCACTCCTAAACCTTCGCAATTGATGGTACTTTGGACTCAAAACTGGGTTTATATTGGCTCCAGCTATTAATCTTTGTTTTCCTTTATTTCCATAAAAATGTCTCTCATTAAATACTTGTGTTTTTCACACCATATAGAGGTGTTAGATGGGAGCCTACCTGTAACAACACCTCCTACAATGAGAATCAAGTACTTAGCTGGACTGAACTACAGTATTCTCATGACCAATAGACTAATGAGATAATGGCCAATATACTTACGTTTGCTCTTCTCTGGAATTTTGTTTTGTTTTGTCTTTTGAGACAGGATCTGGCTATGTAGTTCAGGCTGAACTCACTATGTAGCCCAGGCTGACCTCAAAATCATGATGATCCTCCTGCCTCAGCCTCCTGAGCACTGGGATTAAAGCATGCACCACTACAGCAAGATGGAATTTTCTATGTAACATTTTCAGACCACAGTTGGCTAGAGGTAACTTAAACCATGGAAATTGAAGCCACAGATAAAAGGGGATTATTATATAAGTAACTGCCTTTAGCTTTTTTAGCACTTCATTTCTTTATGAGGGCCTCTGTGCTGTGTAAAACTTTTTTTTTT